CCAGTAAGAAGCCCTCCTGAGCATTCATATGAAAGCCCTGTGTGTTTGCCAATCCTTTTGCCCAGGTGGGTCCTAAATTCTAATCTTCATCAGTATCAGTCAGAAATTCTACTCTGCTTCTCAGAGGTTTGGGGCTTATTTTATTATTATTATTATTATTTATTTTGAGACAGAGTCTTGCTCTGTCACCCAGGCTGGAGTGCAGTGGCATGGTCACTGCACCTCTGCCTCCTGGGTTCAAGTGATTCTCCTGCCTTGGCCTCCCAAGTAGCTGGGATTACAGACACACGCCACCAGGCCAGGCTAATTTTTGCAATTTTAGTAGAGACAGGGGGCTCACCGTTTTGGCCAGGCTGGTCTCGAACTCCTGGCCTCAGATGATCCACCCACCTAAGCCTCACCAAAGTGCTGGGATTACAGGCATGAAGCACCGTGCCTGGCCGGAGGCTTTGATTTTTATAACCTCTAGTTCTACACAGCTTCAGAATTTGGCAAATATCTTAAGGAAAAATTCTGTTATGTTTTAAAGGCTCTTTGACGTCCTGATTTTCTTCCTTCAGGGTTAGGAGATGACTCAGCTCAGCTGGCTTTTCTGCAACCTTGTCTGGGCAATGCTTGGATTCCTAGCCTCTTGCTCAATCATAGAATTAGTAAATGCCCCGGGGAGGAATCTGTGGCAATTGTCAGCTGGCTTCTCTGTGATTCTCCCTACTCTAGAATTTTAGGCCTGCTGGTCCTTCTTTCTTCACCAGCTCTCTGAGAATATTAAAAATATGATTTTTAAACATTATTATTTAGGCTGGGCGCAGTGGCTCATGCCTGTAATCCCAACACCTTGAGAAACCGAGGCAGGCAGATCACCTGAGGTCAGGAGTTCAAGACCAGCCTTGCCAACATGGCAAAACCCCGTCTCTACTAACAATACTATATATATATATTAAATATTATATATACATATATCTCTCTCACGCCACTGTACTCCAACCTGGGCAATAAGAGTGAAACTCCATCTCAAAAAAAAGAGCCTCAAATCTGGCTTTTCTAGTTCGTCACTGGAGTGTTGGTCAGTTAGAAGAATGGAAGTCTCTAAGGCCTTTCAAAGTGCTTTTTTCCACCAGGTGCAGTGGCTCATGCTTGTAATCCCAGTACTTTGGGAAGCCCAGGCAGGAGGATTGCTTTAGGTCAGGAGTTTGATACCAGCCTGGGCAACAGTAGGAAGGCCCCATCGCTACAAAAAAAAAAAAAATTAAAATTAGCCAGGTATGATGGTATGTGTGGGTGTTTTCCCACACTGACAAATTATTCAACATTAGCTGGGTGTCCTAGAATTCTATTCCATTCTGACACTACATGGAGTTAGCATCAGAGCCCACAGGTTAAGTAAGGCTCAGTCCCACAAGAATGCCCCCACTTCGGCTGGGCGCGGTGGCTCAAGCCTGTAATCCCAGCACTTTGGGAGGCCGAGACAGGCGGATCATGAGGTCAGGAGATCGAGACCATCCTGGCT